GGAACCAATATCTATCTTTTCTTTTGTGCCTGATGGAAGTGTAATGTGACAATTTCAAGGAGTCAAGCCAAATTAGGCAAACATGTTTGTATTTTAAGGGAGAAAGCTGTGATTTGGAGCTTTCTCCAAAAAATGGATGCTCAGGGCATAGTGAAAGAAGTACCAATTCCAGATCCACTGGCAGGGAAGGTTTGGGGTTTTTCTGAACTGTTTTACTGCCTGCCTTGGCCCAGGCAACCTCCAAAATGGGGTAGAGCTGAGTCTGCAGGCAAAAGACCTTCAGTGGCTGCAGCTTTGCAGAGCTATGAAAGGCAGGGCTGGCAATGTTTCAACTTTCATCATTTCCAATTGAACGGCTGAAGACACAACTATATATAACAGGCATCCCTGGGCTGGCTGGAGCGCCCACCAGCTGTGGTGCTCCTTGGCACCTGGCACTAGTTTTCTGTGGTTGTTAGTTATTTTTCCATGTATGTCCCTTCTCTGGGCTTGTTGTTCAGTGACAGGAACTATCCTATCACTCTTGATATAGTAATATTTCAGTAATGGTTGACTGTTATTGATGTAAGATAAAAAGTTTACCTGTAGAAATTGGATATATAATCATCCAACTTGACTATATCTATGCTTCTAGAAGTTCTATAAAATAATTGGTTCAGGAGAAAAATTGGTGTTTGTTGTATTTCTACTTGATATGGAGCATCATATCGTCCCATTGAATCCTCCCGTTAGCCATGAGGCAGATTTTCTTTTCTCCAAGTTTATGTCTACAACACAGAAACTGATACTTTAACTCGCTATGTGTGAATTCATGCCCCATGTAGTAAGTAGAGAAGTGTGAGTAGTGAAGCTGTGATTTGAAGTTAGGACTCAATGATTCCATGGCCCAAGGCTTTCTCTCTTTACCACTGTTTGCCAGTAGAAATAGTACAGTACTTTGATCAACCAATGAGAATCAGAAAGGGCCTTCTGGATAATTATACATGTTAACAAGGGGAAGCACAGAAGAGAGAGCAATTAGCAAACTAATGAATCATCCTCTGTTGCACAAATAAGCTTAATTGAATTTATTTAGGGAGAAGCAGCAGAGTGGTCCTGCATCTGTGTTCCAGCTACATAATCTTGGACCAGTTACTTAAACTCTTGGAGATATGTTCTTTTTTTGTGTGTTTGTAAAGTGAGATCCCACTCTTTAAGGCCTACCTCACCTTACTATGAGAAGCAGAAAAGGTAATGTATGTACAATGAATAAAGAGAGTAAAGAAATATTCAAATGGGAGACATCATTTAGGCATGATTATGGCTAAATAACAGACATTAATGAATAAAACATTTTGCATTTCAAGCACATATTAAAATTGTACAGTAAGGAATCAGTCTCAGCCTAGATTTTAATAAGAAAAACATTTGTAATAAAGGTTTAAGGCATGACTTAGGCAAATAAAAATTAGATCTTTAGAAGCATTTATGCTAATAGCAATTTTAAATGATTTTCTGTGCAGAATGGAAATTGACCACAAAATTAATGGATGAGTTAATGCTAAATTGAGAAGCCTGACTTTATTAGCAGAAGTCTTTGTTTTTATTTAAGTTACTTTAGTGTTACAGATTTAATAGAACTGCCAAATATTCAGGAGTCCTGAGAGAAACATCCTTTCTTAAAGATGTACTTTTTAAGTTCTCCCTTAAGAAATCATAAAAGGGGGGAAAAAGCTTTTTATATTCAAGAGGCTTCCTATTACTGTCAATAGCAGTTAAGTATATTTATGGAGACACAAGACAGCACAAAGATTCTTCTGTAATCCATCAGAAGTTCCATCTTAAGTATAATTACATTACACAGCTCTGCTCAGTCATTAGTTTCTTGTTTAGCGATAATGTCCTTCATTTTAAATTCTTTGATGGTAATTATTTGTAACTACGTCCTGAATTCTAAAAGTATTTGTACTAAAGCCCCAGTGAACAATGGGCATTTCTGAACAAGGATGCAATTGGTTTCCCATAAGACATTATGCAGGAAATGATCTGTAACAGCATTGCAAATTTGCAAAGAATTTCTGAGCTTGAGCTACAAACCAAACCAAAATGAGTGTGTTTATCATGTGTGTAATGTATGCAATAAAAAAACCAAAAGCAAGACATTAGATACAAGGCATGATTTTTGTAACCCTAAGTGACCAAATCACATTTTAAAGTTTTTGACGGTTGGTTAAGGGAAGGCACATTAACACATACCAGAGATTGTTTGACCTGAAAGTGAGAGCTCCTTGATATTTTTTACCTCTGGGATTCTTTTTGCAGAAAAATATCTTGTGTTTGTGTATGTGTTCACTTGTTGAGCACCCATTGTGAATCAGGAACTGTTCAGGTGCAGGGAACAAGGTCCTAAGAGAGTCTGTGTCCTCCAACAGCTCACAGGCCAGTGGCCAAGGGACTAAATGAACCAGAATGACTTGATTATCCTCAGAGCAGTGAGAAATAGCAGATCCTGTTATTATTAAAGCAGAAATGTCCCAGCTTGCTACCCTTGCCTGCTGACTTGGACCTAGTAAAAGATGGAAGTTTCCAGGGATGTCTTTGAGACTTACATTCCCTAATTCACCTGGCAACAATGGAACCATGCTCTGAATATAAAGACCAACTGCTTGATCTGGAGTCCTTGAGAGGGGGCATCCCTTCCAGATGCCTCATCTAGATTGGCTAACTCCAGCATTGGGTCATATTGTTTACTATACATCTGTAGCACGTCACACCATTTTGTCCTTCTTGTGTTTTCCTCCCCATCTCCCTTCCCCAGCTTTTGTTCCCTTTGGCTCCTTAGAATGCCACATTTATATTCTTCACATATGGGAAGTGTTTTTGGTCAAAGTTAAAATCCTGTGGTGTGTTCCTTGGCAAAATGATTTGCTAAGTAAGGCTGGCTTCAACTTGAAAGAAAAGCTTTCAGTAGGCAACAAAACAAAAATCCCACAAGCCACCCTGGCCACACTGGAATTCTTAGTCATAAAAGCTAAATATACTTTACATGTGTGCTTAAATAAAGCCTTCTTTCCCAGCATGAGAAGGTGAGTATTGGAGTCATTATGATGTTTGTTATTCAGTTACATAGTGTTATAGAAATCTATACAGATGTTTCCATTTTTCCCCAAACACTGTTTTACAGTGAGAATGAGAATTTTTTTTTTTTTTTTTGGAGGGGTTTTTTTTGGGACACAACATTTTTTTTTTTTTTTGGAGGGGGGATGTCCCACAGATTTTCCTGGAAGAACAAAGAGAACTATGTAGAAACAATGTTAGTAGAGTGTCTATTACCTGCAAGACATTATTGTCGCAGACCAGCCATGGGCTGTGTGTGTGAGCTGTGAGCATTTTGAGCGCACAAGTGGACTGGGCTGATGTTGTTGCTCTGTCTGAACAGTGCAAGTCTGTGTCTTTTTTGCTCGCTGTGCCTTTTGATCCCACACACCACCTGAGATGTGGGTGTGACTTGCCAAGATGTCAATCAGTCTACTGACCACCAGACATAATGAAGCTAGACTCAACCCTCTGAAACCTGACCCTTTGCCTTATTTGGAAAAACATTCCATTAACTTCCTGTTGTGTGTCCTCCCTATGAAAGAATAAAGAGTTCAGGTAGCTCTCTCTCTCTTTTCAACCAACTCCTAATGTCGAGAGCCATCCCGGATTTTGAAAAGGTATTTTTGTGTGCTTGTGTGCTTTCTTTGCTGTTTTATCAGTTATTGATGTAGTCAGATTTTGTGAATCTAGTATAAGTTGCCAGCTCAGTTAGATGGCAATACATTATGCTCAGGTTTTATATACAGTATTTTACTGAACCATACCACTAACCCCAGGTTTCAGGATGATCTGACTGAGGTTTACAGATTAACTAACGTGGATCTTTTAGCCCTTCCCTCTGTCCAGCACATCAGGCTGGTCAGGTAAAGACTCCTGACCTATCACTTGCAACCAAAAAGCAGGTGATAGGTCAGGAGTTTTCTCCAGCTGTTGACCCCTGAAGCTTTGCACTGACACGGATGTGAATTGGAATCCTATCTCCATCACTGCCTGAGTGACTCTGGACAACCTGTTTTATCTTTTTTAAACCTCAGATTTCTCCCCTAGATTGTGAGTGTTTTCTATTTTACAATACTGTGGTAAGGGTTGGAAAGAACAAACAGGGAGGACTTGGAAAATAGTTGGTAATTATTCATTCTTGTGTCCCCACCTTTCCTAAACACAGCGCTACTGTGTCCACCGGTAGCGCTTTATGAGAGCTGGCCCAGGCTTACCCCAGATTCTGAGTCAGAGCTGATTGGCTTTAACAGTAGAATGAATTGGACATAACTTTCCTATGTTCATATATGAATACACAACCAGTGTAACTCCACATCATGTACAACCACAAGAATGGGAAGTTATACTCCATGTATGTATGATATGTCAAAATACATTCTACTGTCATGTAGATCTAAAAAGAACAAATAAAATATGTTAAAAAAATAACTGGTTGGCTTTAGCAGTGGAAGCTGGTTTGATTCTGGTCCTAACATCTTGCCTAGATCCTGCTGCATCTTATTTCTTCTGTGAGGTACTCCTCATCCTTTCTCCTCCCCAGCCCCAGCTCTAACTGGGGTCTTGCTATGTATGAACTAGGCTTCCTCCTGCTGCTGGGCCTGCTGGATATCTCATATCCTTTGGATATTGTACAATGCTGTTGTGGTGCTGCCCTTCACCACTGCGTGTGGTCATCCTCAGTGTCCACTACTGTTATTCTGAGCATCTTCTAGCAGCCGGGCCCTAGAATAAGACAGGTTTGGTCCAGGCAATTGTGCTAGGTGCCATACATGCATGAACTCAATCTTCATTAGAACATGTAAAGTAAGTACTGTTAATACATAGATTTTAAAATAAGAAAATTGAGGCTTACAAAAGACCTTTCTCCAAGTCAGTTAGCAAGAAAGAAGTGAATCCAGCTGTTATGCCATATTGCTTTTCATTTTCTTCTGCCTCCTTTTCTGACTGCTCCTTAGAGCAAGTGGTTTCCTTCATTGCAGCACCTTCTAAAATGCAAGGTTGTTGATTTACCTGGTTACATCTTACTAGACCAAGAGCTCCTTGACTGTAGGAACCAAGTTTTATTTGTTCCTGTACCTCTGTGCTTAGCATAATGCTGGCACACAGAAAGTACCAAAGAATATTTGTTGATTGCATTCCATTGGATTTTTCTTTTCTGTCTGCTGTCTTACTTTGCTGAAGCCTTAGCATATTCTATGCCCAAACTCACCTGAACTGTAATAGCTCCCGAATCAACATTAATTCTTGGGTCTGAAACAATGTGTGAATGAGTATATGTGTATATGTGTGTGTTTAGGTGTTTGCTCTTGTATCAACTGAAACAACTATAGTTTTGCAAACACTTGTCTACCCCCAAATCTTTTAAGCCATCATGTTTATTTAGTTTGTTTTAATCTTGAAACTTTCCTTAGCTTTTGTCTTTATGACATAGTCATTTTTGAAGAATATAGTCCATTAAAGAAAACAGAATGCAGGATGGGTTTTTCTGATATTTCTTTATGATTAGTTTCAGTCTGTGCATTCCCAGTCTGAGTGATGCCATTTATTTCCATGCTATCACATCTGGAGGCACATGATGTCTATTTGCCCATCTGAAGTTAATTTGGATCATCCAATCAAGATGTTGTCCTGTTTCTTCCCTGTATCGTTAACATTCTTTTTCCTCTTGTAACTAATAAACAATCTGTGAAGAGACATTTTAAGAACATGCATACATCCTGTTACTCATCAAAATTTCCTCCTGGATCCATTGATGATCCTTGCCTATCCCTATCTTTAATATAATGATTGCAAAATGTTGATTTTGCATTTGAAAGCAATATTTGACCCTAGACAGTATCCTATGTAAGAAGGAGAATGCCATAAGGAACAGAGAACATATATTAAATGTTCTATCTAAAGCAATGTCTTTCATTTACTGTATGTTATAGAATCAATTAAGTACAAGTCTCCCCTGGGTTAAATGGTCTCCAGGTTCAAGCCTATGTGAGATTCTATGACCACACATGAGACTTTCTGTACAGAAAGTGCAAACTAGATAAGAGTGGTGTTTTGAAATGGGAGATTCCAGTTCTGGTTGCACATATCCAAATTTTTATTAGAAGACAATACAGAAATGATGAGATGATACCTAAAGGGTCTTGAATGTAAGATGCAAGGATAGAGGTCCTAATGGCATTGGTGTCTGTCGGTTCAGTCCCCACTCATGATTGCTGAATACTCCTTCTGGTGTTCAACCAGCTTCAGGAATACTTGATATTTCTTGTCATAATATCTGTGGGAGAAAGATGAATATGTTTAACAGTCTCAAGATGACTTTATCAAGCAGTGTTGCTTTGCATTCAGAAATATGGAAATACATCTGTTACAATTACACAGACACCTTCCAGGTTCTGAGTGCTTACAGCACCCTGGGCAATAGATTAGCCTGTGTCATGCCTGTTATCTATAAATTACATGCAGTGCTACATGGATTATTTCCATTTCTGAGATAAGGTCATCTTTTTCATGGGGTATAAACAAAATACTATAACTAAAAACCAGCAGAGCTGGAATTCCAAGTCAGATTGGTCTGACTTCAAAGTCTCTGCTGCATGTACCAAAAGGCCCAGGCTTAGCACAGAGCCTTTCACATTCCCAACTTCAGCTACGTGACTAGCCACTGATCTGGTTTAAAACCATAGGCTAACCAGAGATGAGACTGAATGTTTTATCACTCTTATGGATCCTGCACCTAGAAGTCCTGGGTGAACTGCTTTATTCCATTGTGAAACCCCATGAGAACAATGTGTAAGGACTTTCTTGCTGCTGTGCCCTGCCTTCCAGGCATCTGATCATGGACCTCAATCTCCCTGTCCTCTCTGGCTGACTCTTTGGGTGAGACCTGTCAGAACTGGTGCTGGCTATGAGTCAGATCTCAGAGCAGCTGGAGCTGCTTTGTATCACAATGCTGAAAGGTAACTGTGGCCTGGACAAATATGGCACTTGAAGCCTTGCAACTTTGTCCTTACTCCTTTTCTTGGAGGTACTGACATGGGATAAGGGTTGATAAATCCAGTTCAACATGGTTTGGTAGATGCTGGGGTATTCCAAAAGGAGTCCTGATGAGGGAGCTCTGGAGGAAGCTTGTGAATTGGAGGAGACAAGCAGTAAGAGAAGCTTTGGATGCACACAGGCTTCTACTTGTCACACATTTCTGCCTTAAGCATTCTGGTAGTGTAGGAGTTGTGATAGGGCCAAACACACAGTTAAGGGGTGGGTGGAGGAGACTCTGAAGCTGGGCTATGAATCTCAGCATGGCCCATGACTTGCTGTGTGACCCAGAGCATGGTACTTAATCCAATTGTGCCTACATTTCCTCTTGTGTAAAAGGGAATAATTACAGGATCTATCTCAAGAGAATTGTTGTGTGAATTAAATGAGGCAATATATGCAAAGCTCTTAGAACAATGCCTGACTCATAATAAGTGCTAGTTGCTACTTTTAAAGTAATTAATAATCTAATATTTTCATCCATCTAGTTATGTAGATATCGCTAAAACCAATTCTATGAGTCTCCAGAAATCAATACTCATAGAATGATTTTTTTAGGGGCAATTTTCTGCTTCTAATGATTCTCTATGATAATATAAATTTTGGACAATACACAACATAATATGGATTTTCTGATTTGGGAAAATGGGACTAAGGTCAGTAATCTTTGCACATACTTTAAGATTTCCAATTTTATATTTATTTTTCTGTGGTGCTATGGATAGAAACTAGGGCCTTTGACATGCTAGGTAAGTGCTCTATCACTGAGTTATCTTACCAGTCCAAGGATTTCCAAATTTAATACCAATGGCTTAGTGACAACTTTGTTCACTGGCCTTATTCTTCATATAGGTAAATCATACAGTGTGTCTTTTTGTGATTATCGTATTTAATTTAGTCTGAACCTCAAAGAATTACCTTCCTCTTTAAGTCTGAATAACATTCTGTTACATGTATATATCATTTTTTGCTTATACATTAATTCACTGATGGACCAGTTGAGTTGTTCTTAAGGCTTTAGAGACTATGAATAATGCTGCTGTAAACAGGGGTATATAGATCTGTCTTCAATATCCTGCTTTCAGTTCTTTTGGACATATACCAAAAGCAGAATTGCTATATCATATGTTAATTCTACTTTCAATTTTTTGGAGAACAGACACATTTGTTTTCATAGCAGCTTTACCATTTTAGGCATAAAGCTTCCAATTTCTCCACATCCTCAACACTTGTTATTTTATTGTTATTGTTGTTTGCAGTAGCTACCCTAATGGGTGTGAGGTGGTATCTTGCATTTTGATTTGCATTTCCCTAATAGTAATGTTGAATAACTTTTCTTGTGCTTATTGGTTATTTATATATTCTTTGGAGGAACGTCCATTCAAGTCCTTTATTCATTTTTGAATTGGGTTGTTTTTGTTGTTGTTGAGTTTTAGGAGTTCTGTATTTTTCTGGATATTACTCCATTATATAATTTATATATAATTATTCAGATATTTTCTTCTATTATGTGGGTTGTCTGTTAATTTTCTTTTTTGTAATGGAGATTGCACTTTACCACTAGACCACATCCTTAGCCCTTTTTAATCTTTTATTTCGAGACAAGGTCTTGCTAAGTTGTTGAGGGCCTCACTAAGTTGATGAGGCCGGCTTTGAACTTGTGATCCTCCTGCCTCAGCTCTCAAGCCACTGGAATTACAGGCATGTGCCACCACACCTGGTGTAAATTTGTTGATAGTCTTTTAATACACATTTTTTTCAAGATACTTTTAAGTGACTGTTCTAAAGTCATGTATAAATTTGTTTTGAGCATAAGGACAAAATTTGGAATCATCCTGAAAAATTGCTAATTGAATTGTAGTCATTAGATTAGACTCTGTGTGATCTAGACTTTTTAAGTCAGATGAATCCACTCTCTTCCAGATTCTCCTGAACTCGGCCAGTTGCTTCTGTGTGGCACAGATCTAAGTAAATGTCCCGTGTAGTTAAATTAATGTGATCGGAAGTGATGAGACAGAAGGAAACGGGTTCCTGCTTTCCATGTGCAAATCTTTGGGCCACCTGAAGATGGTGCTGCAGCACCATGTGTGCCTCCTTCATCGGTGCCCAGTTCACAGCTGCCAGAGAGAAGCCAGATTCTTTCAAAAGAAACACGTAGGGTTTACCAAAAACTTAGAAACAGGCCTCCTTCGAAAGTCTTGAGAGGGTCAGGGAAGAGATGGAGAAGAAAATCCATTTCAAAAAACAAGGGATATTTCAGCCGCCATGAGGAGAACAAAAAGAGGGAGAGCATCCTACATTGGGATGCATTGGGAACTCAGCCTTTTCCATGTTCCTGGGTTGAGCTTCCCCATGGAAGCTCCTCTGAGCCCTCTGCTCCTCTGAGCCCAGAATTTAGAGAGAGGTTTATATTCAGGGGTTTTAATAGCCTGACTCCATCTGAACACAAAAAAGAAAATGAAAAGAAATTGGAACACTTTTCCAGGGACATTTCCAAAACTGTTCAACAACGTGTTTTGGTGGAATCTGTACCTTTGCGTGTCTATTACACTGTGTGGTGAGATTTATGTCTTAACAAAAAATAATTTCCTAAAATTATAAAGGCACTTGCACAACTGTCTTTTTATCTTCAAACTCACTACCAGTGAAATAGAGGTCTTAATAGAGGTCTTTTTCATCTCTAACCTGGATTGTTCAAAAAGCCTTCTCTCTAGTTTACTTCTACCCTTACCCCCTTGAATTGATCCTCTAAGAAGGACCTTTCTAAGATCTGCATCTGACCACCATCTAGCCACCTTTTAAGGTTAAGTATCTCTGTTTTGCCTGTAGCATGAGGCTCACGGTCTTTAGCATAGCCTACTTTGAGCTGACCTCCTCCTCCCATCTCACCTCCTGCCATTCCCCATCTCATATTCTGTGTTGTTGTTTATCGTGACTTCAACATACCATGCTGTTCCATTTTTATATCTTTGCATATGTCATCCCCTCTATCAAGAATGTTCTTCTCTGTCTTGGCCTGTCTACGATTTCTTTTAAGCATTTAATGTCAAATGAGACTTAATCTTTTTCAAAAAGTTTTCCTCACCTTTATAAGGTCACATTCTTTTCTTCTTTGGGCTGTTTTGTCACATGGTAACATTTCTATGGCAGAGCATAGTCCTTTGTTTTGAAAGGACCTATGTGCATAAATCAGATTGTATCTTATTCTCCTCTAAATCATGTTGTTTAACTTAGAGGCTTGAATATAGCAGGGACTCAGTGAATGAATATTGTGGTGACTTGAGATTACAAAACTGATCAAGGTCATTTAAAAGTCCTCAATGTCAAGTGATACAAAGAATGGATGGATGCTTTGAAGGGAGATATAAAAGATGTGTTTTTTTTTTTTTTAAGAACAGAGAAGACCAGATTTGTTGCCAGTGACCCAGAAAAAAAAAATTGGTCTGAGAGTTCAGAAGCTTGCATCAGACAACAGATCTGGCCATACCTAGCTTTGAATTTTAAGTAAGTGAAAGTGACCTTATCTTTCTCGGAGTTAGTTTTCTCAACTATTAAATGAAAGAATTGATTTAGCTAACATTCAAAGTTTATTTCAGATCTGTAATCATAAGCATTTGTATGTTCTCATTATTTAGCACTACACATATAAAAAATATAAACTTACTTCTTATCCTCAAGTCTCGGAAACACAACTTTCCCGACTTTGCTCATTCTTGCCATTGCCTCCTGTTAAATGGGAAACAAAGCAGACAGTTGGGTTGGAAAGCTAAAACCAAAGAGAGGATTGTGACAAGCAATGACATTTGAATTAAAATTCACTTCCCTTTACAATATTCAGTCAATATGATTTTCAACTTGTTTTTCTCTGCCAATAAGAATATGACCCAAGGAATATTAAGGTTAAACCTATGACCACATATCCTGAGCTTAAAAAATAGCTGTGTGTTGAGGCCTCTAGGGCAAACTACCCAGAAAGCCAAGCACCTCTGTGATTGCCTCCAAGGATCAGCATAAGTTACCTTCCCTCCTGACTACCTGGACCCAAGGGCATAAGAAAGTCATATAATCAGCCACTAAGTACATTGCCTGCTTAACTCTTCGATTCACTTTCAGCTCCTTTCCCAATCTATTAAGTTGTGAATACAGATGTGAGACCTCTGGACTGAGTCTAACTGACTTGAGTTCTGGAATGTTACTCCAGGACATTCCTGTTTTTACTGTGGAACACTCAGGTAGGTAGGTAACGGTTCATTGCATCCAGAGGATGTGGTATGGTACATACAGCATTCAGATCACCATAGACTGTGCTGGCTCCATTATGTGGATAAAAATGTTCGTTTTCCTTGGGCAACGCCCAAGGCTATTAAGGTCTTGAGAAAATAAGGAGATATGGCATGAACCCAAACTTTGGAGTCCAATAGAAATGACTCAGGAAGATAGCAAGCAATGGCCTGACAACACTTCACAAAACAGGCCCTGTCTTAGCTACAGCTATTGAACTCTTATTTTAAGGATGCGGTCATTCTGGGCTCATATGTGCCACTTCTTTTTTTTTTTTTTGGTGGAGGGGCAGTGAGAAATACAGGGGATTGAAATCAGGGGCACTCAATCACTGAGCTACATCCCCAGCCCTATATTTTGTATATTATTTAGAGACAGGATCTCACTGAGTTGCTTGGTGCCTCACTTTTGCTGAGGCTGGGGTTTGAACTTGTGACCCTCCTGCCTCAGCCTCCTGAGCTCCTGGGATTACAGGTGTGTGCCACTGCGCCCAGCCACATGTGCCACATCTTATGCCATACATTTATTAATTACTCTCTATGTACCAGATACTGCTAGGGATCCAGATTTGCAAAGGACATAGTTTATTTATTTATTTATTTTTCCCAGAGAAACTCAATACTAGCCAGGGGAGGAAAAAAATGTGAAAAGCTGACTATCATACAAAATGTGAGAACATTTTGTATGACTTCAAAACATATACAAGTGTTTGTATATGTTTGTATATGAGAAAACTAACTCCGAGAAAGATAAGGTCACTTTCACTTACTTAAAATTCAAAATGAAGTCATTTTGTATGACTTCAAAACATATACAAGTGTCCTCGGACCATCTTGCCATGTTATTTTGATTGACTGGTTTGTATACCATTAATTGCCTTCTGATGTGCCATGCCTATACTGGTTTACATGTTCGTTTTCTTGTCCTTACTGAAATGTAAACACAAAGGAGGGACTTGGTCTGCTTATTGCTGAATCTCAGCACCTTCTGCATAGTCAATAAGCCCTTTCATGCGCCCAGCACAGCACTCCACACATGAAACATGGAGAGGCACGCTGCATAGCCTTCCTTCCATCAAGGAGCTCACTATAGAAAGGAAAAGGGGCTGTGATCAAAAGAGAGTAGTATAAGCACTATGCTAGACGTGAATAGAATTCTTTTTGATAATTACTCAAGGAAACCCGATTCCTTTTAATCTGCTAATTTCCACAGTTTTTCAATGCTCTGCCAATTCTTCTGCAAGGACAACATGAACAATCTGGACTGGTTATCTGGGTTCCCAGCCCTCAAAGGATGAGAAAGTGCTGAGTGGAATATCAGAACTGCTAAGGGTAGCAAGAACATTGAAAGCAGGAAGAAATGACAGAGATATAAAAAATGAGAGAAAAACTATTAACAAGAAAACCAGAGACAAGACACAAATAAACAAACAAAATGGCTGCCTAGAGTCATCACAGTGAGCAGGCAAGGACATTTTATTAGGCTGCTTCTGCTCCACTTAAGGCTAGGTTAAGAGCTCTGCTCAGCCCATCATATCAGAACATTTTCCTTCACAGGCTAAGTTCTGACTTCCTTAAAACAAGACCGACATGTTGCTGAGGTGTCCTCCACAATGGCCAGCACTAGCTTTGCCACTCATTCTCATTTTATTCTTGCTTCTTCCTCTGCTGGGCTTCTGAGGGGACCCTAACCTTCTTTTACCACCTCTGAATCTTGAAAATGCCCTGGGAGCACACCCCTCCTGGTTTTGCTTGGGTTCCAGACTTGAGACAACATTCCAGGATTGCCTTCATGGGTGGGATCCAGGAAACTTGTATTAAAGAAGGTACTCTGTAAATGTTATTTTCCTTGCTACTGTAACAGATGTGTGGACAAATGGCAGACATCAGGGAATTCCCTCTTCCTTCTTCACATTACCTTTGCTTGCTTTAAAAATAAATTATTGAGAAACGAATGTTCAAAATAGAGATTTAGAAGATTTAAAAGGAGTTTATTTTGTTTCTGAAAAATAATCCATTTAAAAGTTAAACTTAGGTTAGGCTCCCTGTCCACGGAAGACTTCTCTGACTCATCCTCATTGCCTGCCTGCCCCCTAGATTGAGCTATTTGCTCCCACAGCAACTTGTGCCTCCATCTTTATGACATGGTGCCATAATTTTCTGTTAACACATCAGTCTCCCCAACTAGACTATGAGTTCCTTAAGGCAGGAATTGTTATAATTATTTTCACTGCCAAACTCAGCATCTGGCATATCACATGCACTCAGGGAATGTTGATGGAATGAATGAACTGAAGGATAATACACGTGACAGAATGTTAAAATGGAAGTTTTGGCTGAGATCTAAAGATGACAGATATAAGATACCCCAGTGAGCTGGAAACAGACCACCCTGAAGAATTTGTAGAAAGAGTTGTTGAAGACCTGTAAATCAACTTTCTGAAATCTTTCATCCATGTGGAAGATCAACAAGACGGAGTCTCAGGAGGGAGTTGTTGATGGACTGTGCATCAGGCCTCTTCCAGAGCAAGGTGTCAGGGGAGGTCTTCTCTTCATGAGTTAAGGCAGTAGGGCTCCACTGAAACCAAAGGAGACCTGGGTGCAGGTCCTTATGGTTGTGGTGCACAGTGGACTGTGAGCAATTCCTGCTGGGAAGATGGGCAGGCTGGCAGCTTCCATGAGGAAGTGAAGGATGGATTGCACTGGGATCAGCCAACATTGCCACAGCCTGTCCCAAAGGCATGGCTATTTCCAACAGACCTCTTGGGCCTACATGTGAGAGGACTATCTTGAGTTGTCTTAGATCCTGTCCACTATGGCCACTTATGGAGGCTGGAGGTGAACTACAGGATTTCCAAGGAATTCAAAATAAGCCATTTGCTGGAATACAAGGACAGAGACACTGCAGATAACAGGCTTTCTGAGATAGAGGGTCTCCAAAAAATTCTACAATAGAGGCTTCTGAGACCAATCTGATCAGAGCAACCACTTCTCATTTGTGCAAAGCCCAGCTGGGGAAATTGGGAGACATCTTAACTTTATTTTCATATATTCCTTGATATTTGAATTTCTGAATTTTGGCTATGACTTACAATTTAAAGCGTCCATAAAATCTTTATTCCCTAAGTGACTTTGTTCTTATCTAGGAAGATAATGGAATTACTGGAATTTTTAACAAGGACAGGGAAAAGCTAGCTCTATTGCACAAATAAATAGGCGCAATGAGGGCAAAAATAAGGTTGTTTTTCAACTGTCTCAAGAATAGTGGGAATTGTGCCACACAAGTTTTTGTTTTACCAAAGCCACTAAAGGCAAGTTACACATGCATAATAAAGGCTGGATGAAAATAAATTGAAATGTTAATAATTTCAAGAGCCATGGGTAACAATTTTTTTCTTATCAACTTTAAAAAATTTTTCTGCAGTGGCATATATTGATTTTATTGTTGTAAAAGATACAAATATAACACATCACATTAAAAAAAATGTTATGCTTACAAAGGTAGTCAAACTGGTGCAGGTTTCTCTTCCCCTTCTTTGTCTTCGAAAGGCTGTTGCGGGCACCTGAGGCAATATGGAGAATGCCCGAGAACCAGCCCTGTCATCACAGACTCTGCTGAGTTTTCCAATTTCTCCAGATAATTAACACAAAACTGAAACCTCATGAACACACTGGCTGTATTAAGTCTGAAAATTACCACAGCATAACAATATGAACTTATTATGGAAATGCTGGTCCATGCTAAATATAGTCACCCCCACAATATATTTCTGTTCAGAGGGGTTTATTTGAAGTTGGACTCCAAATTAATACTTTCTGTCAGCAGGCAGGGGCCGGACAATCTTAATTTGCAGCACGCTACCCTCTTTGTTTGAGTCTAGACGGCACAATGAATAGAGTGACTTTTCTTTTTCCTTTTTGCCCACACAATGAAAGCTTTTTAAAAACAAAAATATTTTGTAAAATAGCATTTTAATCACTTCTTTTCTTTCTCTCTGTAAGGCAAAGCTATAAATAAACCATGAAAGTTCACATTTGATTGTCACTTCTGAAACCAAGTGAAGGGCTTCTATAAGGAAAAAAATGGGGTCCCTGTAGCTGCCCATGAAAGCCCTCATTCATGTGGTTTGACCTTCCCTGGTGTGTCAAGGCAGAGACACAAGTCAGCACGCTCTGCTCACCAATTCTCTGGAGGCAGCACTGGCAAGCGCCAGGCCTCATTGTAGGCAGGGGAAACACCCAGTTCTCATGTGTTATAGCCCTTTGGGGAAATACCAAAGAGCTCTGGACCACACATAGACGTGAGTTATCAGGAAAGACAGGGCAAAGGAAGGAAGGGGATCTCCAGCAACCTTGGAGAAGATGTGGATAATTGAGTGGTAGACATACTGATGTTGGTAATCTGGAGAGCAGGAGATATGGTACCTTCTCTCCTAACCTGGGAAA